TGCAGGCTGCAGTCCTTGACCCTCTGCAGCAGGTGCTTCAGGTCCTCTTCAGTTTCAGCAAGCAGGGTTGTGTCATCTGCATAATGCAGATTGTTGATAAATCGTCCACCAATCTTGACCCCTATCTGTTATCTCTAGAATAAAACCTGAATAGGAATTTGACTCAGAACCTATCACTGAAATACCTGGGCTGATATAAACATTTTGATGCAGAGCTGAACCTAGTTACTGTTAGTGGGAAAGATAGATATGAGTTCAGTCTATCTTTCCAGTAGAAGCAAGAACTTGACACATCAAGCCTTGAGGCTGTCAGTGCTCAGAGGTTTGTTTTAAGTCAAGACTGGCAGGAGACTTCAGATTGAATGCAGGATGAATTGAACATTTGAGCAGTGGAGCATGTCAGTCTAACAATTACCACTATCGTATCTACACAAATGGCAGTCACTAAGCCAGGAATTGAAGCATAGATGAATTAGTAGTTATAGAAACCTTGAGGTGGAGTAATGATACAGGGGTCCTGCTTATTGCTATATATGGCCTGTGATGACAGCATCATCTCTATCCTGTTGTAATAAGGATGGGACTGTGATAAAGCTGAGTACATAGTCTGAAGTCCTATTCTCAGGCAAAAAGGAGTAGGATAGGTGAACATTATTTTATATCTAAAGCAGAACAATCCAGGTTGAATGTCTTATTGTTAAAAACCAGGACTGTTTAGTGGAGGTGAGGATGATGTTTTATGGGTTTTAGATAAGAGTGGGAACTGGAAAGAATTGACACCTGTTTCTCTAGTGGGGGAAGATTTTCTTAAGTAGTAGCATGCTCCTATTTAGTTGCCATTTACAGAAAATTATTTGTGACTTAACATCTGTGTTTTCTCCCTTATCTCTTGAATTACACTGGTCAGTTTTTTGGGTAATCTTTGAGACTTGAGATCTGACTTCCTTCACTCACTTCCTTCTTACTCATTTCTTACAGTTGTGGCATTTGAGTGTTGATGTCCCACTCTCCTGGATCGTTTCTATCATATGTTACTGTTCTATCAGAATTGTCAGTGTTTTCCTGGTGCCTTCAGGAGAAACTCAAGTGATCCTAGCTTGTCTCTTCCAAGTCCTCTTTCACCATTTCCTCTTCTGCCATTAACTCTCCTCCGTGCAGACTGAGGCACTGTGCTTTATCTTTCCTTCAGCTTCCATATTACTTCTGCCCAGAACATTGCTTATTTAACTAACTATTCCTAATCCTGTAGTTCTCAGCCTAGCTGCCATGTCTTCAGGAAACTGTCTCTGAACTGCTGGGGTAGGTTATTAGTTCTCTGGCTCAGATTGCTCTGTATGTACCCTGTTACAAACCTTAGCCACACTACCATATCTTCTTTCTCCTGTGGAATGGCTGGCAGATTGAAACTGCTGACTCCTTCATTAGCAGCTGAATGTTAAACTACCATCAGTGCTCCTTGACCCTTATCATACTTATTTCTTGTTAACAATACTTGTTACTTGTTCCTTATCTGCAATTTCTGTCAGCCTAAATTCTGTGAAAAGAAGTCTTGTTTTATTCACTACTGTATTGACAAATACTTAGTGCCAGGAATGTAGTGATTACTTGAGTAAATATTTGATGAAGGAATGGGTAAAAGAATTGGTTTGTTGTTCTGTGACAGGAATGGGAAAAGGACAGCACAGGATGCCCTCCAAGGATGAGCTCGTCCAGAGATACAACAGGATGAATACCATCCCCCAGGTATTATTAGTTGGACCAGTTCCAGTGAGGCCAGAAGACCTTTCTTTTGGGACTAGTTTAGCAACATAGATGAATATGGAAACACTGAGGGGGAGGTGGTGGTTGAAGATTTTTTTTTTTTGGTTGAAGATCTTTTGAAGGAATGAATTATGTTCTAAAGTGAATGTAGTTTCGGGGTCATGTGCACTCTCAATTGGGAGTATTAGTTTATATTCAATAACAAGAAAATGTAAAGGGCTCTAGGCCCTTCCAGACTGATTATGGGTTGCTTGGTTCCCAGGATATCCCTAATCCCCACTCCCAACCATCACCAGCTAACTGGCCTCTCTAGGGAATGCTTTACCATCCTCTTGACTCTGTTCTCCTTTGTCTCTTCTTCTAGACCCGATCCATTCAGTCAAGATTCCTGCAGAGTCGGAATCTAAACTGTATAGCACTTTGTGAAGGTAAGTAGCTCATCAATGCATTGTTTTTGTGTCCCCAACCTTTATTTCTTGTCCATCTTTGATAGGTGATTTGGCCAAGGGTGAGGAGGGATTCATTGAAACGTTATGTCTTTCCTCTCCTGCCTCGACTCTGTGACTTAATCTTTATATCTATGGATTTTGTCTTGTTTATTCCCAGTGATTACATCTAAGGACCTCCAGAAGCATGGAAACATCTGGGTCTGCCCTGTGTCTGACCACGTCTGCACACGGTTCTTCTTTGTGTGAGTCTAGGAGGGTACCCTGGTGAACACTCCAAGGGATGAGCCTGAGAGTATAGTGATTATCCTTGTGTCTCTGAGTAGAGCTGGCACTGGGGTTTTTTCCCCATGGATGGCTATAGATTAGGGTCTGTTTAGAGGACAGATAAGCTGAGTCTTTTTCATTCTAAAGAACTACTAAAAACATTTTTGACTGGGATAGGATAACCACCCCTCTGAATTCAGCTGCACTAATTTCTTATTCTTGTACCACGCTCCTTCTTACGCTCACATTTGCCCTATCTTTGGCAGATATGAAGATGGTCAGGTGGGCGATGCCAACATTAATACTCAGGACCCTAAGATACAGAAGGAAATCATGCGTGTGATCGGAACTCAGGTTTACACAAACTGAGGGGGGCCCAGCCCTCGTACCACCCTGTTCCCCCAGGATCCATCTGCCCTTATGAAAGGGCTCAAGAGCAGCAGGTGAGGCTGCACTGAGGAATTGAGGGGCTATTGCCAAGGGACAGGAAAAGGATAGTGGTGGAGATTGACCCATGAACCACTCCACGTTTGGATGGCTCAGACTGATTCCCAAGCCCTGATTTTCCCGGTTGACTTCACCCTGTTTGTAAATAAAACAATAAAATGGAAGGTGCTGTGGACTGGATATGATCACTGTGGTCTGACTAGCCTTGACCCAGCACCTACCCTAAGCCCCTAAAGTGGGTAGGGATGGGGAGAGTGGAATATCCTAAAGGGTTGAGATTGTTTATATTGGCGTCAAAACTGAGTCCATTTTGTCTGGTCTGATGTACTATAGACCACTGATGACTATTTATGAAGATATATAAGGGCCATTGAGGCCAAAAGAGCTTACATTTCCTCCCTTAGGTCCTCTGCTCACTGCATAAAACCTGCCCAGTAAGGCTTGCTCTTTATCTTAGGTCTAGATCACTACTCTTCTCCTCCAAACTATATCTTTTGAATAGTAGGAAGTTGGTGTATGTTAGCTTAACTCTAACCTAAAATCAGTAAAAAAGTCCTAAGGGAAAGCAGTATCCCCTAATGCACACTCAAATCCTAGCTAGCAGGTTAGAGCAAATAGTTGTTCCTAAGAGACTTAATTGTCTCACTGAATTTCAGCTTTGCCTACTGAAATACAGCAGCTAGCCTTTTAGGCTGTGTTCTGTGAAATCAAAACCTTTATTTTTGAGCAGAGCTAAGAGAAAGTGAACATTTTCACATATTTTATGAGTTACTAATGAAGAATATATGTAAATAAGCACAGAGGTAAGGTATTAATCTCAGCTGGGTTTTTCTAGTGTAGAATTGCTATTCTATAGTCTCTTAATTTAAAAAACCTACTTGAGATGACCTGTCGTCTTTTATTCTCCTTACCCTGCTTTGGTGACCCTTTATTTGCTTGGGTACCTTACCTCATTTTCCTAGGAAGTTCCACACTTATGTGACCATGGGAGTGCCATTTTTTAAGTCTGTCTAGAAGCTGCTCCTTCATTTTCTTTATATTTTCTAGATCAAGAACAGTATATTATGACTCTACAAATCTACTAGGGCACTCCTTTCCCCATTCTGATTTCAGATATAGGAGAGACTATGTAAATTACTCCCATCAGTGAGCCCATCCTTACTGAAATTCCTACCTGCTGACCTGCAAGGCCTTTCTAAATAGTGTTGGAAGTAGCTAACATTTCAGAGCCTTACTAGCTGATTGGCATTATGCTAAGCACTTTAATTAAAAATTAACATTTTGGAGTGTTTACTACAGGTTTGGCAGTAGCAAAACACTAAGGTGTGAGGAAATAGTAATGCTAGCTGTCTTAATCAAGATTATATGTCAGCTTAGCTATGCCATGATTCTCAGTAGTTTGGAAGATACCCAGTAGTGTAACTTGGCAGTTAGATCCTCCATTTTTGCCCAATGTCATTTATTTCATATGTTTGGAACTTAAACATGCAGAAAAGTAAGGAGTAGGTATCGTAAGCTCTCTACATGTGATAAATCATCTTCCTTACACCAGTCCAATGAGATGGGTGCTGTTTTTTCCATTTTGCAGGTGGGAAAACAGAGACACACAGAGGATAATTTGCTCACATTCCACAGCTATTAAGTGATTGGAGTCTTGACTCCAAACCTCTGTACTGGTTCTGTGTCATAATTTTTCAAACCTTTTGAGTAATTTTTCATTTAATCCGGACAACAAAGCTGCAAGATGGGATTTCTTTAGAGATCTTAAGTAACATTTCTTAAGGTTTCACAGCTTGTTAGTGGCAGTGCAGGATTCTAATCAAATTTGTCCATCTCCAGAACCTGAACTCTCCATATCCAGAACTTGAACTTTTAATCATTCTTGTATTTTCCTCTAAGATTGCAGCTGTTGAGTCTGTTCAGACTCACAGAAACCTTATAGGACAGACTAGAATTGTAGGTTCATAAACTACCAGCCTTGAGTTAGCAACCCAGCACTTTACTACAATATGTCACCGGAACTCCTTTACTTCCATAGAAGTTCCCCAAGCTCTGCTCCCACTGGTGTTCAGTAGTGAAACCTATGTGCTTTTACTAAAATGATGTAATAACTCTGCTGTTCAACAGATTTTTCTCATTGTAAGCATTCAGAATTTTTTTTGTCAGTGGTATCCAGTATAGCAAGTACGAGAAAGTGATAGAAGAGAAGGAATTAGCAGATAGTTGTTTTTCCCAGAAAAACTGAAAAATTGAGCTGGCTTCATAATAATGGTCTCTGTGCTAATAAAATTGTGTGAGGAAGTTAAATATATCAATTCATAGTGTTCCACAGGAAAGCAAAATATTTTGCATCTGAGAAATTGAAAAGCCATGGGTAGTCATACCTGTTAAAATTATAAATATATGACTTAAATCTAATTAGAAACCCACAGTGGAGTTATAAAATTGTGGAGAATGGGGCCCCAATAGTCTTAAAAGGAATCTTTTCAAAGCCTGAATTAAGAGTTGAGGGTGGGTCTGCCCTACCTAGACCTGTATACGGGGGGGAGGGTACAGAAGCCTGAAAACTAGATCTTAACAAGGGTTCATCCTTCTTAGATTTCAAGGCTATTACAAAAATGGCAGAGTAGTTGACAGTGTCGTCTTAGCTGTACCTTTCGTAAAATCCTGGACTTAAACAGTTATAGTACATTTAGACCTAAAGATGTTTAGTGCTAAAAAAAAAAAAAAAAAAGATGTTTAGTGCTAGGGCCAGGGTCAGAGAAAATATTGTATTACACCACTTCAAATGAGAAAAGTACAAGACCTTGATTTCTGGAGAATGCAGAAGTGAACATTATTCTTCCCTCCTGGTGATTTTCCATCCAGGCAGGGTGTGGTCATGACTCAGTTTGTAGTGGATCCATCGGGAAGGAGCCTACTTGATTTTGCCTTAATTCTGGTGAGTGTGGAGAGAGGCCTAGTGCTGAGTCACCTCTGGTAACTTACCAGCTTCTCACAAGATGGATTCAGAGATGGAGGGTGAGGAGTTGTCTCAGTTACTGGGGCAGATCAGACAATCCCTGTGGTAGACCCCTCGTCTCCAAAAGGTGATGATTAAGTAAGTTACAGTTCCACTTGAAAGGGCTGTGGTCGCTTTAGAGCCCAAGATTTTCCATAAATAGCTCTGAAGTTTCCTGCAAAGAGGACAGGTGTAGGACTCTTTAAAGCATTATAGCCACCTTTCTTCTCAGAGTAGGTGTGTTAATAGAAGCTAGCAGCCAGTAAGCAAGGATAGACATAGAAGGTGGCAACTGCAAAAAGTATGATCCCAAATAAAAGATTTTGATTGAACTATATCAGGAAGTTGAACGAGGGAGCTAACTCTCACTCACTAAGGCCTGTTAGAGTAAGAACAAAGAAAATATGGCAGCAAGGGTCTGGGAGAGAAATAGATGGTGGACTCAAGGAGCAGATGAATCAGCAGATGCCAACAGCTGACTATTCAGGAGGAATCAATGACATTGTGCCAGAAGCCTGTCTCTGCAAAGAGCACAAGTATTAGAGTGAGCTCAGGTGGTGCTGTTGTGAGCTATGGAGTTAGAACCGAATAGCAGACACTCCAACAGATCTTCAGAGGCTGTAAATCACATAGAAAGAAAATGTTTCTTTCTCCTGCAGAGAATGGATTCAAACCATGTACCTTTGGGTTGACAGTGCAAATTCTTATCACTAAGCCACCAGAATTCCCTCAGGAGGGTGCTAAGGCTAGAAAACAAAGGAAGGGGGTTTCTGTTCTTGCCTCTCTAACCAGGATAAAACCACCTTCTTCTCTTGAGGACGTTTCTTTTTAATAAAGTTTGCTCTGTCTTCAGCTTTTCCTCTGCCTGAGTTGCTTGTTCTTTCATGCCTTCAGACATCTTCCAGGATGTTTTCTACCTAAACTACCTCCAGCTAACAGATGAGGTGCAGGAGAAACTCTGATATTCTAACCTTAGATCAGAGAACTCCCCCTACTCTAACAAGTCCATCTTGGTCTTTTAAATCCTAATTGAAGTTCCATCTCACCCCCATACTCTATGTTGTCAGGATATGCTCAGTCTCTTCTTTTTTTTTTTTTT